TTTCCTGAGTTAAAATGTCTTTATCTGCGTTTTATTCAGCTACAGCGATCACTGGATACTTCTTCCTGGAGCATTATTTCTATTATGCATATGTGGAGTTTCTGCGCTAGGGCGCCCTCTGGCTTCCAGTATGAATTAAACAGTCATTACATTACGTGTGTACTCAGTAATGCTCACAACACCCTATTTTGGGTAAAAATAGGAAAGATAATACTTTTCTCTAAAGAAACAGGATTCCCTAAATTATCGTCATTGATATCATTATCGCAATAAATATCAGAAGTTATCGAGATATATTTTTAAGCCTATATCGCCCATCCCTACCTGCAATGCGAATTTTAGCAGGGGAACCCCGCCAAAAAAACGTGTATTTTCCCCCCTGGAACTGGATTTTTAACTGGGGACCCCCTCGAAATGCGATTGGGCTAGTTTTGAGTAGCGATTGGGCTGTTTTCTTGTGAAAACCGGGCAACCCTGGAACACGTGCCGTTGGGTCACATAGGATGGAAAACACTCACGAAAAAGTAAAATATGACTGTTTTGTGCAAGAAACAACAGAAAGTGAGGTAAGAGTTATGATCTGTGATTAACCCGTGTATAAAAAACAAAACGAGAAACGAATTCATCCCTTTGTGTGCCTCCTGCCCTGTAGTGGGAGTTGCGTGAATGAGGATCATTTGCATGTTTTAAATGCATATCTCTTCCCTCCAAGGGAAAGCGTTTGCGTTCAGCTCACTGTGAACACATGTAAAACTGTTGTTTATTTTGAATACGCGCCCTCCAGAGGCGAAAATTACATATTGTGCCTTTAAATGCGATTCCGTTAATATGTCATATTCTGTAGTCCTCTGGTGCATCATGGGACATGGTTATGCTGAATATCCGTCAACTTCAATGTCTGAACAGCTCCAATAAACAATATAAAAATAGTAGAAAAGTATAAAATATTTATGATTGAAGTTCAACCAACATATGATGCTGTTTATAAAAATATCATTATGGAAAATATAAAAAGTGCATATGAAAACTAGAACATATTCACAAGTAATAAAACAATAATTGCTAAAATAATTTCGTAATTGCAGTATCTCATTCAGTTTGGTGACATTCACATTTCGATTTTCTTATAACACAGTTTTTCCCAACATTTACAGTAACACCTTTAAAAATGGAATAGGTTCAGTAAGATGCATTTAGAAACATTGACCTCAAGTTAATCGCTGTTAGCTCTCATGAAAAAGTGTTGGATGATGTTAAGTGCTTCTTTGTACATAATCTGAAAATGGCTATGACAGTTTTTGTACATAGTTAAAAGATTTGGCTACAAAAAAAGTTACTTGACATTTCCATAATTACTGGCCAGGACAAAAAATACAGCTTCTTTAAAAAAAACAACAACAACATGTAGACTGCTGCTGGGATGGTGTATTTTTGTAGACTAGAACCTGGAAACGATTTAGCATTTTCATTGTCCTTAAGTCAATGTTCTTTTTAATGGGTTTCTGGTTAAATGCCATAAATAAGGTCTGTGGTGAACACAAACTCAATATATTTTCATGTTTTATTCTACGACATAAAATAGGCTACATCGCTTAATACAAAAAGTGGCTATAGCTATGGGACTACAGATATTGTCGGGGACATTAAACGTTATCACATCGAACAGGAAATCTCATCTACTCGCTAGTCCACTTTTGAAGCCTTGTTGTGTTTCTAATCATGCTCTTGCAAAATATTCTAACGCAAACTTTTAGGAATTTTTTATTTTTTTTTCCCCATTGTTGTCTGAAGCTTAATGACGGTGGCGTTGAAGTCATTTGACCTTGGTGTAGTTCATTTATAGCCTACGTTTAACTATAATAAAAAGCTTTTGCATTTCGCTTTTTTCCTAGAACTATTGGCGGAAGTTCCCGCTTTTTGGCATGTTTGCACTGCAGGAACTAGGAACGGTTTTAGTTCTAGGAACTCCGTTTGGGGGAATTAATTTAGCTCCTACTTCAGATTTTCATGCTCGTTCAATCGCGTAAATTGTGCATTTACATTCCATCTCCGCTATCGCGAAACCCACGACACACAACAAAAACAGCTCCGAACACGGTGTCCTCCGTTCACTGGTTGTTGAGGTTTGTAAATGGCGTGAATAAAGACGTTGCTGTCAGCCGCTTCAGAGTTCCTGCTGCCAGTGCGAATGCAACCAGAAAAACAGCCTGAGAGGGAGATTGTTTCTCTAGGAACGACCCTGTTGGCTAGTTCCTAGAACTAAGTTCCTAGAACTACGCAGTGTGCAAGCACCTTTATACTTCTGCCGATTGTATTTAGGCTTCAAAATGTATAAAAGTTTATTTGTGAAGATGAACAAAATGTGTAAGAATCATAAGCTTTTGTTGGTCACAGAGCTTATTTTCTGCAATTATCCAAAAGCAAGTGGAAAAATCCAGTTTGGTTTCTGTCGAGGCTTTCTGGGTTGGCCTACAAAAATACATAATCGCTGCAGCACTCTATACCATGTGCAACAACTTGCCCCAACCTGACATTTATGGTCAAAAAAATGTCCTACCAACACAGTTCAGCCTATCAGATAAAATCTACCTTCATTATATAGTTGACTCTTTCCTAAATGAATGCCAGTGTGGTTTTTGATATGCAAGCCTTCCTCTGTGTGACAACTAGCCCCTGTCTCCCTGACATACAAAATATATTTACATGCACTCAAATGTTACTGTAACAACAAAAGTCCAACAAAAGTGGACATGGATGGACAAATGCACACCATTGTGCACAATCACCCCATATTTGAATTTATGGTGTCTACAGGCGTCGCTGAAAGAGAGCGCTGACCCTTTGTTTCCACCCTCACTCCTCCCAGGCCTGATGAATCACTACACCAGTCTCTAACAGCTGACGGCACAAACAGAGGCAGGGTCAGTATCCCGCTGACCTGCCACTCTTCCTGGCGTCAGATACGGCACTGATGCACTGCCCTTCTTTCGAGATGCCATTGACCACATTGAAAAATGGGTACGTGTTGTTCTTCACGATGTGTCCTATCTTTTGCATTGCATCGATAGAAGACTGAGAAGAAGAAAAGAACAAAATGTTACTACTTAAGTCACTTTTGATTACCTGTTTTATAAAATGATGATTATAATCAGTGACCGGGAACATTTCAAGAGGAGGTAAAAGCAATTACAATCATTACGGCCACACTATCAACATGGGATTATGGGATTGTGATTCATGGTAACCTCATAATATTAGAGCAGACCTACATTCCAAAGGACTTACACTGTCGTATCCATGCTCAAATTGGACATTGTTGTTGGAGTCCACAAATACTATTTTAGCAGCGATAGATTCGTTAAAGTTCATCCCAAGCCACAAGTGGTTCATAATGGACTGAAATAGGAAAAGAACAAGGGGGTGTTCGTTAAAGAGGGTTTGTCAGGTTATTTTCAGCAGGACATCTCCGTACTGAATCTGTGGCATGCTGTCAACTACCGCATACAATAGTTTTTAATGCAGACAATTTTATATTTAATGTTTTGATACACATTTTAATGCAACAATTAAACTAAATTTGGTTCTTTACAGCAGGATATCACTGTACTGCATCTGTGGCATGCTGTCGACTACCCCAGACAATCGAGGTGGAGCAAATGATTAGATTTTGCAAAAAGATTACAAAAACATTTTTTAGATTGTAAGACTATAGACATGCAATAAAAAAAAGAAAGAAATAGATGTTATGTTGGAAAATAAAATACAATCAAAATAATAGTTTAAATAGTTGATTAAAATGCCAAGAATAGCCTAACATTTAAACTAAATTAGGTTATTTTCAACAGGATATTTCTATACTGTATCTGTGGGATGCTGTTGACAACCACAGACAATAATTTCAGCACACATATGAAATGTGTTTATAGAATGTAAATGGAGGACTAAGACAATTTTATAGCTCAAGTTAATTTTTTTACTGGAAAATATATGCAAGTGCCTTAACAAAAATATGAATTTAAAGTCAATACTGACTGTATTCTGATGATTTTCTGGGAGAAACAGAATTTTCAGGTATATAGAGGTGGAGCAAATAGTTATTATTTTGATAAAGATTACAAAAATGAACATTTTCTAGACAGTAAGACCATGGACATCCAATACAGAGAAAATAGATAGAAAAAAAATAGTTGATAAAAAATAATAAGGATAAATAATTCAATAAACAGTTACAACAATAACTTTAAATGACTACTAAATTAGAAGTATGAAAATTGTTTGTAGGTGCAGTAGATGAAAAAAAATAAATAATAATATTTTTTATTTATATAGCGCCTTTCCAAAACCCTAGGTCACTTTACAAGTCAGGTTTAAGGAACAGAAACAGATAAACATCAAAACCAGAAGACAGAACACATAGCATGAGCTGAGAGTAATATACAGAGACCACTTACAAAGTTAGATTAGAGATACATGATTATTATATTAATGTAGATAAACATCCATAACAGGGTACAAATTACAGACAGAGAACTGAAGAGTAATACTCAGAGAAAAAATGTGTTTTTAAGAGGTTTTTGAAGGAGAGAAGGGAGGATGCTTGATGGATGTTTTGGGGCAGAGCATTCCACAATCTGGGAGCCACAACACTGAAAGCTCTAGATCCCATAGTCACCAGACGAAACTTAGGGGTGACTAAGAATCCCTCACTAGAAGATCGTAACGAGCGGGCAGGAACATAAGGCATAAGTAAGTCAGATAAATATGTAGGACCAAGGTTATGGAGAGCTTTATAAGGGAGAATTAGTATCTTGTAGTTTATGTGCAAGGAAACTGGAAGCCAATGAAGGTGATTTGGATTGGATTTGGGGTAATGTGATCGCTCTTTCTTGTGTGGGTAATCAAGCGAGCTGCAGAGTTTTGAACATATTGTAGTCGTTTGATATTATTAGCTGACAGGCCATAAAGAAGTGAATTACAGTAATCTAGTTGAGATGTGACGAAGGCATGTATAACAGTTTCAGCATCCTGCTGACTGAGAGAGGATCGAATACGCGAGATATTACGCAGGTGGAAAAAAGCTGTCTTTACTACTTTACCAATGTGATCATTGAATGAAAGAGTGGAATCTATGAGAATACCAAGATTGCGAACTTTAGTGGAGGGCATAATCAGATCACTATCCAGATCGTTCAGTTGACCAGAGAGCTTAGATACAACAGCTTTAGAGCCAATCAGAATTACCTCAGTTTTATCAAGAGTTAAATTTAAGGTAATTTGCCACCAGCCAAAGCTTGAGTTTCTTGATGCAATTTGTTAATGCAGGCGGAGGAAACACTGAGGTGGAAGGTGCGCTAAAATAAATTTGAATGTCATCTGCGTAACAGTGGAAGTTAAACCCATATCGTTTGATTATTTGTCCGATTGGTAGCATATAAATGGTAAAGAGGAGAGGGCCCAAAACAGAACCTTGAGGTACACCAGAACTGATGGATTTGGTAGATGATTTGTGTTTCTGGTTTATAACAAATTGTTGCCTCCCGGTCAAATGGGAGGAAAACCATTCAAGGGCTGTGCCAGTAATTCCAATTGCTGAAAGCCATGAGAGGAGTATCTCATGATAAACAGTGTCAAAAGCTGAGCTGAGGTCTAACAGAAGGAGAGTGCTGAGAGCACCAGAATCAGAAGCTAAGAGAAGATCGTTAAGAACCTTAACCAGGGCTGTTTCAGTACTGTGTAATGGATGAAAGCCAGACTGGAAGGGCTCGTAGAGGTTGTGTGCTGTTAAAATATTTAGTGCTGGTCAGCTAAGGCTGTGTACTTCATAAAATAGGCTGAACACTGATAACCCCAAATAACTTATTTCAAATGGAGTTTGACTCACCAGCGCCATGGCTGTGGTGATAAAACTTCCTCCTGATCCACCAATCACTACAGTCTTCTCCTGGGACTGCAGGATGGTAGGAGCCATGGAGGAGGGAGGCTGCTCGCCTGGAGAGAAAAAAAAACAGACAATATAGTGACAAGAAGTTTCAAGACATGCAAAATGTAAGAAGATATATTTGGTGAATGATCTTCACCTGGTGTGACAGAATCTGCTCGGCCACAGAAGTCAGCTAGCTCGTTGTTGAGGATGATACCCGTTTTAGGAGAGAAAACAGTTGACCCAAACCTGAAGACATAAGATTTAAAAAATATTCGTTTTCATAAATATTAGAGGATTTATTATTTAATGTATAATATTATTAAATGTGTAATATTTTTATTAATAATATTGTTTATTTAAAAAAATATTACAGGATATCTAAAACGGAGAGTCTATTTACACTAAAGCCACGTTCACACCAAGAACGATAACTATAAAGATAACGATATTAGCGAGGACTTTAAGTAAAGTGCCCTGCTGTCTGTGTTTGTGCATCACAGGCCAAAGAGAGCATCGAGCAGCTGGTGTATCTGTGCCGGACAGATAAGGAGGATGTGAGGGATGCTGCCAAACAAGCTCTGCTTGTGCTAGGTAAGCAGTGGACTAAACAACAGGAAATGGACCCATGAAGGAAAGATCGGTAATGAAAGTGAAAGAATGGATCTGCTGCAAATTAGAGCTGCACGATTAATCGTTAAAAGATCGCAATCTCGATTCAGACAACCACACGATCTCATTTCTAAATGACAACGATTCTCCCGTGTCTATTAAACCTTTGACAAAGTCTTACCGGATCATTCAAATCTGCGTTCGCACTGCCGCTGACACACAGAGCAGTTACCATGTTTGGTTAAGAAACAGCTTCACAAACAGTCTTAAAGTCATTCATATTATCACAGAAATACTAGGATGAAAGTTTATAATTCAGATATAAACATTGATGTCTATGGTAGCGCGACCAAAATAGAGCAAATCCGCATTTGAAAGTAACTGCCACATAACGTTTGTGTCGATTGCATTGTTTCGCCACTAGGTGGCAAAAAGTGACTTAAAAATGTATAATTGAATGAATAATTTATTCAAGATAATCGTTCAAAAACGCTGATTATATTTTGTTTAGTTCAGAATCGTGGGAGAATCGTGATCTCTATTTGAGACATAAAAATTGTGATTCTCAATTTATCCAGAATCGTGCAGCTCTAGTCAACACTACAAAAGACAATTATTGAACAATAGGTCCAGTGATGTACATGGTTTAGTGTATGCCATTTATTATTTTTTGACACGATCTACACAAGTTCGAATCTGCCTTTTGCTGAACTTTTTTTTTCTCCAATTGTACATCGGAAAGGCATATATTTTTAATAAAAAATGAAAGAAAATAATGAAAAAGTTGAAAATGAAGTATCGGGTAGGGTTAGTGTAGGTGTAGGGAGGGCTTTATTGTCCCAATTAAAATGATAATTTTCCCTCAATACGTTATTATTGCACACTGTTTTATAAAGTACTGCAATACTGAGGTGCAGTTGATTGCCACTACCTGCAATAAGTAGTATACATAGCAGAAAATCCTGATATTTTAACATATGTAAATAGAATCTATAGTCATTTGCACTTAGTGTAAATAGCATATCGCTAAGAAAATCCTGCTATTTTCACTTAATGTAAATAGCATCTTATTGATAGCCACCGCTTATATAAAATGTGTGTGTGTGTGTGTGTATATATATATATATATTCACATACTATCCCTTTAAATCTTGAAACACAATTAGGATCTCTGCTGAGCATATGCTGTAAACGTGTCTCACATGTGGTTGATGGTGCTGGTGACTGACACAGCAGTGCCATCTGCTGCCATCACTGAAACATGTGTGGTGCCAAAGCGGTCGACTGTCGGCGTGATGTTGTAGAAGGAGGCGTCGTGCGTGGAGCCGTCAGTGATCAAAGCCTTGATACGCTCAATGAACTTCTCATCTTTGATGTACTCCATCTGCATTCACAGGGCACAAGAAAAACATGAATAAATCAATTATACTTCCCAGACAAATTAATTTAGTTTAGTCTGATCATTATTTGCATTTTTTTGTTTTGTTTTGCCAGACGTGGAATTATTAATGATGTTTCTAAACGAAATCAAATCTCTTTGAATGCATGCTTCGTTAACAAATATTTTGATTTCATTTCAAACAATAATTGCTTGCATTTGTGTGGCCTTCATGAGAAATAACATCCGGCCTTTCATAGTATTTACTCAACCCTGCACTTGACGTCTAGTGATATTATGCTTACTACAGCCAAAAATAGCAAATATAACAAAATTAAGCACATGAGAAACTCTGCTGTTGTGTTTTTTTAAATGAATGTTCCAGACAGAAAATCAAGGCAGTATTTTAAATGAAGCTGTGTCCATACATTTTTTCTGGAGTCGAAGTTGGGGTCTTTGAGGTTGTGCTTTTGTCCATTCGCAAACTTAACCGCCTCAAGGAACCGATGCAAATTCAAGGTTTTCTGGTCCCCTTGGTTAGAGGCTGGAGAAAGCCTGAATCCTGAGGAAATCAAAGGGTGGTTTAATATTTATAAGTAAGAACTGGTTCAGTATAGCAGGCAAAGTTGATAGTCTTTTGTGGTCTACTCCTACCATGCATTAGTTTGAGTATAAAGCTGAGTATCACTCCTCCTGCTGGTGGAGGAGGGAAGTGCATCTTGTAATCACCAAGTTGGACTGACCACGCTTCATTGACTCTGACCTGAAAAGTGCTCAGATCTTCTAATGATAACATTCCATCTGGAAAAACCAAAAGTAAACTGTAAACAAGCACACCTGCCAAAAAAACTGTGTATTTCAGAAGCACTACATCTGTTCTGATTACAGCGACTGCCATTTGTATACAAACAGTTCGTACTTCTCTCTTGTACATCCTGTATCAAGTCCTCGGCGATTTTTCCAGTGTAAAAGGCATTGGCTCCTTCTTTGGAGATAGTTTTCATGGTTTCTGCCAGCTGAGGGAACTTGAGGGTGTCCCTTGGGCTAAGAACTGTCTTGTCCTTATAGAACAGTTCACTATACAAAAAAAATAAGCTTATAAAACCAGACAGAAAGCAACTCAAGTAACATAAGCCAGCCAGGTGAAACAAAATGTGATGAAACTTGCCAAGAACATGTCTGGGTCATATTTCACCCCAAAACAGTAACAATAAAGACAGAAAGCAACTCAAGTAACATAAGCCAGCCAGGTGAAACAAACTGTGATGAAACTTGCCAAGAACATGTCTGGGTCATATTTCACCCCAAAACAGTAACAATAATAAAAAAAAAAACTTAAACATCATGGTAGTATGTCTTGTAATGCCTATATTACTGAATAAAATGCTGTAATTTCTTTGAGATATATATAATGTTTATATAATAATGCTCACCAGAGCTGCATTAATTTGAGCAAAAGCACACTCCTAAAAAAATGTCATAGTGTCCAGTACTTTAACATTTTAAAATAACTGCATTATATTTTTTCCCCCAGAGATAGCAATGATGAATTTTGTGCCGTTTAATATTCTTTTCCAGAACTATTTGTGACCCTGGACCACAAAACCGGTCACAAGGGTTAATTTTTTTAAATTGAGATTTATACATCATCTGAATAAATAAGCTTTCTAGGATATTTACAAAATATCTTCATGGAACATGATCCTTACTTAATATCCTAATGATTTTTGGCATAATAGAAAAATCGAACATTTTGACCCATACAATGTATTTTTGGCTATTTCTAAAACTATACCCCAGCGACTTATGACTGCTTTTGTGGTCCAGGGTCACATTTGATCAATACAAAGTTAGAACAGCATTTATTTTAAATAGAAATCTTTAGTAAATGATTATACATATCTTCACTGTAACGTTTGATGAATTTAATGCATCCTTGCTAAATAAAAGTATTAACTATTTAAAAAAAACATTATTATATATACACACATATTTAGTGAGTTACAGTGTATAATTCAGCAAATTATGTTTTACAATAGACAAAAATGGTATTTAATAGAAAACTGGAGATAGACTCAATGCTGCTTTGACTCATGCAGCAGAAAGTTTCTTATTACACAACAATAAAAGAGCTCTTATATTTCTTGCAGTTTGCCTGCGGCTAAGTCATAACCTACTTCTTTGACATTGATCGTTAAGAATGCTCGTCAAGGTTCATCATACTTGTCCCCTTAAATAAACTATTGCATTGAGATGTCAGTCATAACAAACAGTAGTGTACATGATAGTGTGTATGTGTTTGTTTGGAGAAGATGCATTACCAGAGTTCAGTGCCATGAATCAGTTTTTTAATTAAATCTTGCTTCAAGAAATAAGCGAGGTAGGCTGGCATGGGGAAGCCCTCTCGTGCCAGCTTGATGGAGGGCTCGAATAGTTTGGCCCAGGGCAGCTTTCCATACAACTGATGAGCTTTTTCATAGCCGCGGAGTTCTCCTGGTACACCTATCCAGTGACTTCCTGGTAGACGCATGAACAAATAAAGCACAAAATAGTTACTGGAGTACCATACTGTTCAAAAGTTCTGATTTGCATCACAGGAATAAAATACATTTAAAATATATTCAAATAGAAAAGCTCTTTTAAATTGTAATATATTACACTATATTACTGTTTTTACAGAATTTTTGGTCAAATGAATGCATTAATAATAGGTATTGTATGTGTTACACAAACTTGATTTTTAAACTTTCTGAAGATCAATTATAGGATGTTGTGCATGTTGTTTCTCAGGGTGTTGTTAGGCTGTTAGTTATGTGCCAAAGTTTAATATTAGGGTTAGACATCTATGTAAATGCCTAATCTTAAGTATGAACAATAAGGAAAGGCAAATTTTAAGTCTTGAGTAATACTGGTCTAAAACGAAAAAGAAAAGCCCTTTTAAAGGAACACTGTACACTGCCAAATCAGATTATTTCCAGTTTTAGAAAGCTTTCGGTTTGTTTTCAGTGGACATTAATGCATTACACAGAACAACACAGTGAGTTTCGTTCTTATCCAAGTTACATAAACTATTGCTTTTGGGAAAAAACCTAATCTCTTTTATCTAGAAAGTAAAAATATTACAGAAAAACGGTCATAATTAGAGTTGCATTTTGTATGCAGGAACAGCGTGTGAACATTTAGGCAACTACACAAAGTCTGGCATTATGGGTAAATATGTTTGGCAATAGTGACTATAATCTGACAAAATGATATTTTAACTGTCCAGGAAGTACATTTAAGAATAAGAAACAAGCTAAACAAGTCCACTTAAGTACATAATTCCCCTATCCTACGCACAATGTCCCATTGTACTTCTACATTTTCAAACGACATGTTTATGAAACCTAAAAAAATGTGTCATCGTTTACTCGTGCCACTTATTATTTTCCTTCTTCCATGAGACACAAAAGCTGAATGTCCAGATTTGTTTTTCACACAATGAAATTGAATGGTGATTTACTGTATACAGCTAAACTACAAAAAAGACAAAAATCAATAGTTTTTAATGGAAGAAAGAAAATAATGTGGGGTTGGAATGACAAGAGGTTGAATACATGATGTAAATGTTGGGTGAACTTATGGGTGATTTTCTAAATGAGAGGCCAGTGAGGGATAATTTACCCTGCTTTCATGTGGAAAAGCTTTACCTGTAGCAAATGTAAAGGTTTTCGGACACTTATTCAGCAGATCCGCTTGGACACCTTTTGGGACTGTTTCTCTTGAGCTGATGATTTTCACTTTGCCTTGAAAAACAGAGGACTCCGTAAACTGTTGGGTTTATGCAGATTTAATTTTTTCAAAAAAGCATTATTTATCCTCGTTATTTACGTCATGTAATATTTTTTTTGTCTCTTTAAAAAACACTGTTTAAACAATAAACTAACAGGTCAGTCCACCTTTCCATAAAATTTCTAGAAAAAACTCAATGGGCTGTACCAATGAAAACTAGATTATACTTGTAGAATTATGAGTCATAGTAAAAAATAAAGTAAATGGCATGTTCTGAATTGTTCATATAACGGGGAATAGAGAAATGTTGGTTTGAAATGAGACTTTGCATCACCTCAATCACAAGATCAAAACAAACAACCATAATATACAAATTTCTATTTACTTATATAGTGCTTTTTGCGCAACTACAATATACAGTGGGTACGGAAAGTATTCAGACCCCCTTCAATTTTTCACTCTTTGTTATATTGCAGCCATTTGCTAAAATCATTTAAGTTAATTTTTTTTCCTCATTAATGTACACACAGCACCCCATATTGACAGAAAAACACAGAATTGTTGACATTTTTGCAGATTTATTAAAAAATAAAAACTGAAATATCACATGGTCCTAAGTATTCAGACCCTTTGCTGTGACACTCATATATTTAACTCAGGTGCTGTCCATTTCTTCTGATCATCCTTGAGATGGTTCTACACCTTCATTTGAGTCCAGCTGTGTTTGATTATACTGATTGGACTTGATTAGGAAAGCCACACACCTGTCTATATAAGACCTTACAGCTCACAGTGCATGTCAGAGCAAATGAGAATCATGAGGTCAAAGGAACTGCCTGAAGAGCTCAGAGACAGAATTGTGGCAAGGCACAGATCTGGCCAAGGTTACAAAAAAAATTCTGCTGCACTTAAGGTTCCTAAGAGCACAGTGGCCTCCATAATCCTTAAATGGAAGACGTTTGGGACGACCAGAACCCTTCCTAGAGCTGGCCGTCCGGCCAAACTGAGCTATCGGGGGAGAAGAACCTTGGTGAGAGAGGTAAAGAAGAACCCAAAGATCACTGTGGCTGAGCTCCAGAGATGCAGTCAGGAGATGGGAGAAAGTTGTAGAAAGACAACCATCACTGCAGCCCTCCACCAATCGGGGCTTTATGGCAGAGTGGCCCGAAGGAAGCCTCTCCTCAGTGCAAGACAAATGAAAGCCCGCATGGAGTTTGCTAAAAAAACACCTGAAGGACTCCAAGACGGTGAGAAATAAGATTCTCTGGTCTAATGAGACCAAGATAGAACTTTTTGGCATTAATTCTAAGCGGTATGTGTGGAGAAAAACAGGCACTGCTCATCACCTGTCCAATACAATCCCAACAGTGAAGCATGGTGGTGGCAGCAACAGGGATATCCTGGACGAAAACCTCCTCCAGAGTGCTCAGGACCTCAGACCTGGCCGAAGGTTTACCTTCCAACAAGACAATCACCCTAAGCACACAGCTAAAATAACAAAGGAGTGGCTTCACAACAACTCTGACTTTTCTTGAATGGCCCAGCCAGAGCCCTGACTTAAACCCAATCGAGCATCTCTGGAGAGACCTAAAAATGGCTGTCCACCAACATTTACCATCCAACCTGACAGAACTGGAGAGGATCTGCAAGGAGAAATGGCAGAGGATCCCCAAATCCAGGAGTGAAAAACTTGTTGCATCTTTCCCAAAAAGACTCATGGCTGTATTAGATCAAAAGGGTGCTTCTACTAAATACTGAGCAAAGGGTCGGAATACTTAGGACCATGTGATATTTCAGTTTTACTTTTTTAATAAATCTGCAAAAATGTCAACAATTCTGTGTTTTGCTGTCAATATGGGGTGCTGTGTGTACATTAATGAGGAAAAAAAATAACTTAAATGATTTTAGCAAATGGCCGCAATATAACAAAGAGTGAAAAATTGAAGGGGGTCTGAATACTCTCCGTACCCACTGTATATATATACACACACACA